TGGGAAAGTTATCCAAAGTTTATAGAGTATGTTGAGAGGACTTGGCTTTGTCATAAAACGAAGTTTGTGACATTTTGGACAAACCAAGTTCTTCATTTTGGCAACACAAGCACATGTAGAGTTGAGAGTCAGCATTCGGCCGTCAAGATGTGGTTTGATTCTTCGACAGGTTCGTTTTTTGGTTGTTGTATTTGATGTATGTATTTTGTTGTATTTATGTTTGTTGTAAATAATTATGTTTTTTTGGTAACGTGCAGGTTCTTTGGACACCGTATGGGCCCGAGTTCATTGTCACCACTGCCATCAATCAGTTCCAGGTGCTCCTGCAGAAGACGAGCGCGCTAGTTACCCAACTCAGTACACAACTGTGTCCTGCTCAAACACCGCAGAACATTTCGCTCCTGGCCACCCCATAGATATGTAGCCACGTGACCCCCAAAACTAGTAATGACAGTACCATCCTCAGGCCCACCTGGCATCGGCCCCCGAACCACCCATGACTCAGACGAGCTGGTAGAACCTTCACCTGGTTCACTACTACTACCATATCTCCCATGGTCACCCCTATACACAGTACGGTAATCCTGAGGGTTGTACTCTGAATCTCGACTAGCATGACTAGCTCGCTCATCGTCGTCCTCTTCGTCAGATACAGGCACTCTACCCGACGAGTACATGGGGGCGCTCATGTCTGACTGATGGTCCCCCGACCAAGTACGAGCAGACCCGTACTGCTGCTCACGGTGAAACGGTGCCTCCGAAGGTCCTGCACCACCTAACTCCCTCCTAACTGATGCATTCAAATGTCTCGATCTTGCATGTCGAGCGCCCGAACCCTCAATCTGCATTAAATAAGTAGAAAATATAATTTCATTAATACTTACACACACAACTATGATATCAACCTTGAATCGCTAATATTCAAATTCAAAAATAATAGCAACAATACATAACAATTACAATAAATGAAAAAACAAAATAAATAAACATAACAACATTACATAACAATAACAATAAATGAAAACAAAAAATAAATAAACATAACAACAATAAATAAAAATAAACATCACAAACATACATAACAATAACAATAAATGAAAAAAAAATTAAATAAACATAACAACAATACATAACAATAACAATAAATGAAAAATAAAGTAAATAAACATAACAATAACAACAATACATAAAACATAACAACAATACGTAAAAATAACAATAAATGGAAAAAATAATATATAAACATATCAACAATACATAACAATAATAGTCGATCTAAATTACACAAAAATAATCACCAAATAAAAAAAGAAAAAAAAAATTATTGAAAATTTAATAATCACGAATAATAGAAAAAATAAAAAAATAAAAAAAAAACAACAACTTCACCAAACAAAAGAAAAAACCAAGAAAAAAAAGAAAAAAAACAAAATATAAAGAGGTTCACCAAACAAAAGAAAAAAAAACAAAAAAAAAATAAAAAAAAAAAACAGCATCACCAAACAAAAGAAAAAAAAATTAAAACAAAAAAAAATTTTAAAAATACAAAAAAAAACCCACCTTCACCAAACAAAAGAAAAAAAAACAGCTTCACCAAACAAAAGAAAAAAAAATTAACATAAAAAAGATAAAAAAAAAAAAAAACAAAAACAGCTTAAGCAAACAAAAGAAAAGGAAAAAAAAAAATTAAACCCACACTTCCGCCTGAAATTTTCGGAAGTTTCCCCAGACTTCCGAATATTTCAGGCGGGAAGTCTGGGTTTTCCGAATTTTTTTTTTTAATTACAGCAACAAAGCAACAATTACCAACCTGCTCGCCGCTGGAAATGTCGCCCCCACGACCACCGTACGTAAGCCTAATGCGTCTCCCGTCCGCCATACCCGGATTCAAGCTTTTTTTTGGTTTTCGTATGTTCTTCGTTTGATTTTCAAATTTTTGAAAATAAATTTCTGATTTTTTTTTTCTGATTTTTTTTTAAAAATTCTTGCCTTTTTTTTAGAAAGAGAGTTTTAGAGAGAGTGTGTCGGGGTTGAGAAATGACTTGTGAGTTTCGTAACTCGGTTTTCCAAGTATTTATATATGAGGGGCAAATTAGGAAATTCAATAAAAAAATGCGAGCGTCACCTTGTAATCTGTGAACGACGTTTAACAACACCCTAATTTTTCTCTCTCCTTTGTTTTCTTCTCATTTTGAAACTTTCTCTCTCATTGTCTCTATAAAAATGAACATGTAAATACCTCAGTTTCCTTCAATCATTATTCTTCTTTGTCCTTCTACTTCAACCATTCTCCAATTCATCACCATTTTGTAGCAATCTCCATCGTCATCTTCATCGCGAATGTTATAAAATTGTTGATTTCTATCAATTTTTGCATTTTTGATTCCTAATCTATCATTTTATAGATCGATAATTATTTTCTCTATGACGAACCAAGATAAGATTTAAGGTGGATATTAAAATTTTTAGAGTTAAAATAATTACAATCGTACTTGTGCATAATTTTCGTTAAAAAAAAAAATGAGCACGCAGTACTTTAAAAATGAACATGTAGTATAAAATGAACATTTTATACACTAAAATGAACATTTAGTACAGAGAAAATGAACATATTTTAACGTTTTGTTTTATCTTTATTTTTTGGGAATTTGAACCTATATGAATATATGAAAATCATGTTTATTTTTAATATATTAAATGTTCATAACTTTTTTTTACATGTTCATTATTTTTTAAAAGTGTTCATATATTTTATGAAATGTTCATTTTATTAGGTATGATCCAGCTAATATATGATTGTATGATAAATGTTCATTTTTAATATACTAAATGTTCATTTTTTTACGTATTCATTTTTTATTATTAAATGTTCATTTTTTTTAACGTGTTCATAATATTTTTCTTACTTAATTTTCATTTATAAGGTCATGGTCTAGAAATTCTATGATTATACGATAATCATGCTCATTTTTAATATACTATACGATCATTTTTTTTTAACGTATTCACTTTTTAATACTAAATTTTCATTTTTTTTACGTGTTCAATTTTTATTACTAAATGTTTATTTTTTTACGTGTTCATATTTTTTTTAACTATATGTTCATTTTATAGGCCGTGGTGCAGCTAAGACTTATTGGTTGTTTGGAGCCTAAAGTCAATGCAAGATCAGCTCAAAGGCATAGCAAGCCTCTCTAAGGGCCCATGCGCTCAAAACTCACCACGTGTTGTTGTGTCCTGCAGGCCCCACATTATTTACTACCCATGATTATAAACGATTAAATGGTCCAAATTCCACCATTTTCATGTATCCACCGTAAGCCTTTAGCACTAAATCTCTTGTATAGCATTTAATACTCTACCTTGTGTTAAATTTACTGACTTAGACATCGGAGGGGCGATCCTCGACAAACCTCTGATGCCAGTTAACGTGCTATATTGTACAGGAAATCATCAGCTCAACATTCTTTGTACCGAACTCATCTTCAACCCACTAGACTAAGAATTATTTTTTAGTCTACATTGTTTTTACCTGAAACATATACTATGACTTGCTACAATGGGGTATTGGGAAGTATATTACACTTCGACTCAATTATTTATAAACTGTACTAAAAAAAAAAAGGCAAGAGAAGAGTGTTAGTAACTTGTTAACTTTTATAAATTGTTTGGTCGATCTTGAAAAGGCTATGTTGCAAGATCTTGTTCAAGACTCGCATTTTCCTGGTATCATGCATTCATGCTAATGCACATTGCATCACTCCTTTAAAATAAAAATTGTGGAAGCAAACTCTATGTTGCTTCTTAAGTAAAGATTTGCTGTTTAATTACTCGTACTTGGGTTGGTTGCTTGGTTCCCTAAGTTGTTATCAAGTCTTGTTGAAATTTCATTATTCTTTTGTTGTGCCTTCTCAGCTTCAATGAGCCGAGCCACAAACATCTTCCATTCTTTTATACATCTCTTCCGCACCTGCAACCACATTAAATTTTAGATTTACTCTCATTGTAGTCTAAATATAAATTTACTCGTAAAAGTATTATGACCGTGACATGATAATAACATATGTACATCAACTATTTTTAGATTTACTTAATCTATAGCCCCTTAGCACATAGTTTGATAAGGGATTAGATATCGAAGACAAACATATGTTAGGATAAAAAATACGAAGTAAATTAATACGTAGTACCGTATCATGAATCACTATTCGTCCCTCTTATTGGTATTTATAACTTTATTTTTCATTAAACAAATCGTCATAATCCCTACTATAAATTGACTTTCATGGCTTGTGGGACTAACTATATATAAAACGATTAAAGAAACGGAGAATGTATATATAAGTGTATATAGAGTTGAAATGAATTAAATAATTCACGTACCCCGGTCCTTGGAGAATCTCCTCCTGATGATTCACCCTAACATAAACCATATTCATTACATAGGTATTTTGCAGAACAAAAGAAACAAAAAATGATATGTAGGGAAAAAGAGGGAAAAAAAAAGGTTATATTCCGCCCTTCTTTTTATTTATTTTTTTTAATTTTGATTTTTATGATTAATTTCTTACAATTATGACTATTAACTCCGTTAAATATTAGTTGCAACTTTGGGTATTATTTGTGAGATATAAAATATTTCAAAGTTGTAACTAATATTTAATGGAGGTAGTATAAAAATTCACTATATTATAAATATCAAAATCATATCATGTGAGATTTTATTAAATTCAGCTTGAATTATGCATTTACTAAGGGTGTGTTCTATTCACATGATTTTCACTTAACTGAACTTATCTGAACTTATTATAATTTATTTTAGTTGTAATTTGAACTTTGATAACCCCTTATCAGATCTTATTTTTCCTGAACTTTAACTTATGTAAACTTATTTTTCCTAAACTGAACTTATTAGACCTGAAATAAGTGAAAATAAGGTGAACAAAGCATACCCTAAATATCAACATTTTAGAATTTTTATTTATATTATATTGAATATATATGTGATCAAGATGTGCATTGTAGTTTATAGGCCATGAAATTCAAATTGCCAAAAATTTATAAGAACAAAGAGAGTACCTGTTTATAGAGAGAAGGAACACTTTTATGAAAAATCCATTGAGCATCAACAACGCCTATTTTTTCATGTGCAGGCTGTTTCGGTCCCCATAATTCCAAAAAAAAAAAAAATAACAATAAAAAAAAAAAATAAATAAAAATTCACCGTCAATGTTAAACAAATTACTCCATTCATTTTTTATCAATTTTTTTTTTTTTGAAAAACTACTCCATTCATTTTATTAGTCATCTCAATTTGCGCGGGATTTAATACGTATTACACAATTTTGACCAAACAACAAATTAAATCATTGTTCTACTCACTTATATTTTGTATGGTCTATAAGACTATAACTTTGATCATTAATATACTTAATTGTAAAATAATACTCCTTCCGTCCCTAAAAGAATGATCTATTTGGCTAAATTTTATTCTCAAAATGTTCATCCCATTTGTACTATTGGTAATGATATATGTAACCCTTAAGGCTATATATAAGCATTAAATATACATTTTAAAATGGAATTAAGTTGGAAATTCATGACTAAATCACGCGCAGATTAGTATAATTAATGTTAATCTATTCTTAATATTTCCTTTTTTAGCTTCTTATACATAGTCAAGGCTATGTTTATCATTTTCCTTGTATTATAATATTCTCCAATTTGCAATAATATTTTGTGCAAAATTAGTTTCCCCATGTAAATTTTGCTTTTTCCATATACTTTTATTATTTTCTCTCTCTATTTTTTTGCAAATCCCATGTGAACTACCTTTTCAATGTACTTCTATTAACTTCCTCATACACTTGTACTTCCCATTTAAGTTTCTTAATACCCGTGAAAACTGCTCAAATAGGTCGTTCTTTTAGAGACACAGAGAGTACTTAATAAAATAGTGAAAAAGTTAAAATTTTGAATAGGGTAATGCTATATGCAACCCTTAGAGCTGCATATAAACATTTAATATATACTTCCTTTTTTTAGTATTAAGTTGGAAATTTATCGACAATTCACGAGTAAATCGGTGTAATAAATGTTAATTTAATGTCTATTCTTTCCACTTTTAGCTTCTTATATGCATACTCCCTCCGTCCTAGAGCACATGAGACGTTGAACTTTTTTCACTATTCATATATTAGTTTTGACCATAATTTTTTACTAACATAATAAAAACATATTTTATCATAAAATATGTTGTTATATAGGTATTAATATAAAGTTTCATAATATAATTTTTAAAATAATTTTCATTAATATTTGATTGTATAAAAACAAAATCAAACTAGTAAATTAACATGTGTACAATGTAACTGTGTTATATATTTTGGGATAGAGAGAGTATAACTTTTTTCCTTTTAAATATAAACATTGAAATGAATCTTACAAATTTACGCATAATACTTTCTTCGTTGTATACAAATCACAAATTGCGGGTGTGTGCCCATGGACTAAACAGGGTAAAAAGGAAAGATAGTCCCAAACCTGTACACATTTTTGAAGGGCAAAATCAAGACCCCATCCATGGACCAAGTCATTCTGCATGGGACGCCATTTAGCAATGCAAGCAAAGTTTAATTAAGATTTAAACCATAAAATCAACAGTGTACGTACAAATGTACCATATACTTTATGATGTTTCTAGACTTAACATAGTAAAGAGTGCACATACCTGGATCATATGCCCACACGCAACGCCATGCATTTCGAGAGAACACAGGAGCCATAATCTCAACAAAGCTGTGCATATTTAGTCACGTGTGAATCATATTTAGTCACGTGTGAATCTTATTAGATCCGTAAATATATTTTTCAATACGAATTAAAAATAATAGTAATAGTCATCTACATACGTATATGTATGAATTGGAGATCAGACTGTGAAATAACAAATTCTTAACATTTTGTGAAATGATTAATTCTTCAAAATATCTACGCCCTACTGTTAGTTGATGCCCTAAGATAACAAATATATACAACTATAGTATTACTTGTCAATTTTAAATTCCGATGCAATAACTACTACTTCCTCCGTTCTTTTTTACTTCACCTGTTTCTTTTATCACGTTTGCCGATGCACAATTTAAACCATCAATAACTTTAATTCTCTATAAATAAAAAATTATAAAAGTTATATATTGTGATAGTACTTATTTAGACGATTCTAACAAAATCTCACATGAACATATTTTTTCATTACATATACTTCACAAAAGACGGTCAAAGGTGGGTTGGTGAATAGTGTAAAAGTCGAAGCGGGTCAAGTAAAAAAGAACGGAGGAAGTATAATATTATTCTTGATTTGTGTGACATACCTGGCGCAGGGTGGTAAACGTGGGTCTATACACGAACCTTCTCTCTCAAGGTTATCCCTGAACAATACTGATAGTTTCGAAAAGTAGATACATTGAGGCGCATTGGGGTCTTTGCACCAGTCGACCTTCTCCGTTGAGTCCCTAGAGAAAGCACCCAAGAAAGAGAAAATAAAATGATAGAACAAGAAAAAAAAATACCACTTACGATATTGTATATGTCAATACTGATAGAGAATATATACACAATATTTTAGGTTAATTAATTTTACAAAATCCTCATTTTAATAGACTTGTATTTAAAAGAAAATATACTTAGATAATTATTTTTATTATTATTACTTGTGAACTTCACTGTCATTTCTTTTCATTGTCAACGGCCATGACCTTCGACTACTGGGATCCAGACCAGGCTGCGAAATCTCCAAACCATATTTCTTCACCAAATCGATATATCTGAAATAAACATCAATATAATTAAAATGATCACCAGTTAATTAAACGTCAATATGAAAATAGTTGGTCTTTAGTTATTACTCGTACTATCCCATATTTTATGACCATATATCTGTATTAATTGGCAATAAATAATGGTGTTCAAATTTTGTTGATACAAAGGTGTATCAGTGTATCCATACGATACAGAGTAACACACTTACTTTACAGGGTCAAAATGCTCAACTCCCAAGTCCTCATCCCAGACAAAAATATAATCATAAGTCGCAACAATGTCTGGATGTAGAAAACGTTTTGCGTACCACCTTAAAAAAAAAAAAAAAAAAAAAAAAAAAAAACCAAAGCCAAAAGAAATTAATATGGTGAATAATAATCTAAGGCAATGGCCAATTTTGCAAAAGACAATGATCCAAGAAAATTATTTACCATTTTGTCTGTTTTAGAACATTAACATGGATAGCTCGCTTTGACCACTCAAATTGGTCCCAATCACTTGTCTTCCCATCATAATGGAAGAGCATAATAGAAAAGTCATCTGAAAACTATATACATAACAATAGTAAGTAAAGATTATACAAAAATATGCTTTTAAATAATATGACAACAACGCAACGAGAACATCATTTAAAATAAAAACTCTATCATATGATCCGCGAGAACCCAAGTACATGTAATTAGTAGTAAATGATTAAGAGAAGTGAAAGGAGGAAACCTTTTTAACAGCTACGTCAATGTTATCCTTCATATCTATACCAACTGTGAAGGTTACAAGATACTTGGGTTTCCTCATCACATCCTGTAGAAGCCATAGGTAAGAGATTACACTTTCGCTGTTTGTATCAATACTCCTTGTTTCATATTACTCTTGATTTTCGAGGTTGAATTTTGACCGTTAATATATAACAATTATTTCCTCTGTGTTTTGTAACTTTTCTTTTCACGCTTATCGATGCATTATTTCAATCGTTAATATCTTAAATTAACAATATTAAAATTATAGACATTTGATGTTAAAATAGTATAAATTGAGACGAATCTAACAAGATCCAACATGACTATGTTTTTCCTTAGCTATAAATAACCAATGTTAGTCAAAGTGAAGCAAATAAATAGTGTAAAAGTCAAGCTGTTGCAAGTATAAAAAACAGTGTGTTACAATAGAATTGTGCAAATATTTTCAAGAGAGTATTATATACTAGTACAGTATATTGTTGAAGTACCTCATCAGGATTACCCCATAATCTACGAAGATAGAAGTCCGATTGAGATGCAATTATGCCTGATGGTAGACTCTCTGCACCTCTAGGAATTGTTTCGACCCGAAATGGCATCTAATATTCATCAAATCAAAATTGATTAGTTCAAGACTATGCTTGGCTAGATAGGGATTTCAAGCTCACGTTGAAGGAGAGTCTGGTGATTACATATAAGTTTATTTCTATCCCGAAACATTAGAAGACCTAAAACATACAATTAAACGGGTTTCTAAAAGTACGAAATGACAATAAAGTGTACTCCGTAGAAATCTTACCTTTGAGTCATGCAACATATGATTTTGGTCATTAGGTTCACTAGACAAGAACGCCACTGGAATATACTTCGATGTATTAAACTGTAAATTTCACAGGGGTAGGTAATAGTGAATACTGAAATATGAATCGAATACGTATGTTTTAATATATCATGTGAATAAATATACAAATATACAAGTATGTAATTCATCTAGTTGATAAGGCAAAGTTTTTGTATTTTGAAATGCATACCGTAGAAGCCGAAATCAAGAATGTAACATAAGTTCCAATCACATATCCAATAACCATTGCAGTGAAAGTTATCAAAATTGGCCGTGAAAACTCATTAGGTAATCTCCTTGTTACCATTCTGCATCGAATATGCGTGATTCAAACATGAAAAAAAATAACATTTTAATAATATATAATTATATTTCTGCTAATTTTTATTTACCATAATACGTTAATACTGTGTCTAAATAACAGTAAATTTTAATCCAAGGAAAAAGAAAACAGACCTTTAATCACAGCTTAATTAGCTTGACGAAGATTCTTCAATAATTATTCACGGTAGAGTAGAAGTTTTTGAAGGCGAAAGATTGCACTTATACACAACAAAATTAATTAGGTTTGAAAATAACAACTCACACAATAGAGTTAATTGAATATGAAAATTGAGGAAAAAAGAACAAATTACTTACAGATTAAAGCATTGCTAAAGATCTCAATTGTTGCTAAAATGCTTAAAGTGTAATAACCAGAAATGCAGTGCATTGAAACAAATTCTAGTGTTCACACATTGAACATTATTGGATCAAATCATGTTTTATATGTAATTGTTTGATTACAAGTAATAATCCTTAAGTACTTTCTATATAAAGAAGATATAGTTTCTATATTGGGAAGATGTCTCAAAATTACAGAATACAAGTTCCTCTAATCACAATCTTATCTAAACATTGAATACAATTAAATAGTCAAACAAAAGAACTTCACCAAAAAAAAAAAAAAAAAATAGTCAAACAAAAGAATACAAATTTTCAGATATGGCCAATACAACATGCTAGGAAGATTAACATAGTGTACATGAACCTTGTGAGTAAGGACCATCAGTGATCCGATCCGAATTGACCATTTGGTAATTCTGTCAAACTTTCTTTCAGTTTACCTGAGTATTTATCTTTCTAGTTAATTTGAAAACTTTTAAATCTTAAAGTAGTTCTCATGCGACTATTAATTTTGGACAGAGGAAATAACATTGTACAAAAGACCAAGAGTAATAATATTCCCTAGTAATAATGTCCGAAATTAATTTATAGGTGTCTCATCATCTGTAGTTACAATGTTTTCTAGAAGATTTTTAGCAAACAAAAAATACATTTCCTGATGCAGTCAAAGTAAAGATGGGGTTTGTATTTACAGGTTGCAGAAGCTGGTTTCTAAATGAGAAAATATAACACAATGTGAGGACAGAGGATTATACAACAGATAGTGGGTTTCTTAAATAAGGGAGCAACCAAACCCTATTATGTGGTTATGCCCCATCAGCTGCAGGACTGTGATTGTATGGAGTCGAAGAAGGAAGCCAAATTTCAACTCGGGTCCCACCTGTTCCAAGAGCAGCATCTGTGTTCCGGGGAGAGATGACACGGACGACACAACCATAGCTCTCAAGTATCTCTCGTGCTACTGTGAGGCCAGCAACAAAGTTCCATGTCATGTTGTCCTCCATCATTTGTTCAGAAAATAGTTCTGCTCCAAATGGTGTAAGCGAATGCATCTGTGTCTGTTTATTAACAAGAAAAAGGAAAAGAGGAGATAAAGCGAGTAAAGCTGATGCGAGTATAAATTCTCCAAGCTAAGCACGCTGATTCATCATTATAAGCATCCACATGCTAACTTACTGTAATGACAAAAAGTGCTACATTTGGCAGATATCAATTACGATAGAGAAGAGAATTAGAGAGCTCAAAAATGTTGTTACATCCATGTCAGAACTTATTGTATTTAGTGTACTGACCCACTCATATCCTAATCAGTACTCAGAAGTAAATTTGGATTCAGCCTCAACATAAGAATAGCATACATTATGTGTAAAAAATTCATTGTAGCAGGGATACGAACAAATTATTTGGATTTTGTAGGCATCTTTAAAATCAAAGTGGAGCTCTAAAGATGAGCTCTAAAAATGTTGTAGCCTTGTTGGTTTTACAAAATAACCTTAAGATTAACTGAGAGTGGGATTTTTCCACCTTTAATAAGGAACTTTCAGTAAAATTGTGACATATGCTTAATTATGAGAGATTGAGATGATGTGACAGTTTCCAAGGGAGAGTGTTAAAAATATAGAGATGATCTTACCATGTAGTGCATATCTGGACCATCATCATCAATCACAACAAGAGCACCACCTGCAGGTGCTCCTATAGAGACGATTTCAACTCTTCCCCCAACATGTGTGCGCAGTAGTGCACCCTCTATTAGATTACTGAGGGCCTGACGCAGTGCAGGTTCTTCTATAGCAACTGGCAGGTATTGGGAGAATTCACTTAATTCCAATCTACGCTTCTGGTTTAAAGCAAGAGGCTGTGCAGCTCCAACCAAATCCACCACTATATCAGAAACATTGCACGGTCTTCCTGACAAGAGCAAAGAGCATAAGAAAACAGGAATTTTGTGAAAACAATGAGAATAATAGCAAAACACAGATTGCTGAGGAATAACTCGACATTCCTCTTCTATTTAAAAACAAGCACTAGAAAACGTCCACATTATCTCCCACATAGAGTAATTAACAGAAAGGCTTCATTAATTGAATGCAACAGCTCAGCAAAACAGTTCACAGTGGCTAAGCTTGAAAATCTTGGCCAAGTGGGTTGGAAAAAATAAAAATTGCCCCTACGTGTACCTGATGCTATGCTGTTGTACAGGTGCTAGTGCCAATGGTGGCATTGGCATCTCTAAATCTTTGATTGCCAAACTTAAAGAATGTTGCTGATCAGAGTCTCTTATCTTATCAGCCGGTGGGTGAGTTGGCACATCCTTTGGTAGTTTAAACGTTCTCATTTCAGGTTGAGCATAACTTGAGACATCCATTTTTTTCAATGATTCTTCATTGAATCTCATTATGTTAGCCTGTAGAGATATAAACAATGCAGTGAGATGGTTCAGGAGAAATAGTCCAAAAGGATAATAGGAAATTGCTTTTGCCGATGTATACACCAGCTGAATAATGACAATATGCAATGAGAAAAGAAACCACAGCAACAACAGCAACATAAGAAGCCTTAATTCCAATGATGAGGTCGGCTACACAAGAAGTGGAAAAAAAAAAAAAAATGAATGAATTGAAATATAAAGCTGGTTCCAACAATACAACTTCTGTTTCAGTTTAAAAATCACAAGAGCATAGGTATAACTTGTCCACAAGGAATTAAATTATCCTCCAACAGCAGACAGAAATCTAAGAAAAGCGCTTCCAACACGAAAAAATTTCCATTAAAAAGCCCTTCTAAAATCCACAATATAATTAAGAGGCCTGTATATTAGATGAATAGAGAAGCCTGAGTGCCTGACCCATCAGACGTGACTCATAAAAAAAGTCCCAAATCCATGCCATAAAGGTTTCTTCTTCTTCTCTCCATAACATCATTTTAACTTCACATCTTATTTAGAATCCAATCAAACCAGCCTTCCCAAAAGCAACCCAGCCAACAAGCAACCAGGCAAAATGATCCAATCCTAGAAACTGCTGTACAGACCGTTGAACCCAATTGATAATAGAGCAATATGATGACAATCAAGCAATACTTCACAAAATTGCACATCTAGAATCTATATACCAGTAGAATGCATCTCCCTTTGGACATGTAAGTAAAGAAAGATTCCTTGGCAATGGAGAGTATCAAACCTGAACCCCAGAAGAAAACAAGGACTAAGGAGAGCAAGAAAACAACCTTTTTTGTGTGTGTGCACCGGAGAGAGGGGGGGGGGGTAAATGAATGCTTCATATTAGACTATGCCAATATTAGGCTGCTATTATGATTATGTAATCATTCCTAGGCTTTATGTATAACCTAGGTTACTTGTATATATACTCTGCCAAGTAATGTCAATAGTCACGGATTACATGCCTACATGGTATCAGCCTAGGTTAGGTCTTCTATCTTCTCTCTGACTCTATGCCTTCTCATCTCCATTCTTTGTCTTCTTCTCCAACCTGCTGCCATGGCTTCTGACACACCTAAATCTCCTGCCTTTCACCCAGCGATTGCTGTTAATAACATCAAAAGCTTCATCCCAATTACCTTGGAGATGGAAAAGGTGCAGTATTCCTCTTGGGCAGAACTTTTCTAGATCCATGCACGAGCATACGAAGTTCTTGACCACATAATTCCATCAGATGAGAAAGATGAAACTGCAGGTCCCGCCCTCTGGTCTCGCCTCGATGCCATTGTTCTTCAATGGATCTACGACACAATATCCCATGATCTTCTTCATACTATCCTTGAGCCCGATTCTACGGCTTAGCAAGCTTGGGATCACTTGCAAGATATCTTTCAAGACAACAAGAGTTCTCGTGCAGTTCAATTGGAAGGCCAATTCTCCAACATTGAGATGAAAAACTTTCCCAATGTCTCCGCCTATCGTCAAAAGGTGAAAATGCTGGTTGATCAACTCGCTAATGTCGGTGCTCCGGTCAACAATCAACGGCTTGTTCTCACCCTTATTCGCGGTCTCCCAAAATCATTTGATAGGGTTGCCGCCGTTCTTCACCAAACTGACCCTTTGCCTTCCTTCTACAAAGCTAGGTCAATGCTATCTCTGGAGGAATCCCGCCTTGCAACCCAGGCTGCAAGTGAAGCTCTTACCACCGGTGCCGCCTTATTAGCCACCGGAAACGACTCTGTTTCTTACCACGAGGAAAACTTTTCTGTTCATGACACTAATCCCTCTCACCACCGTAGCAACCGGGGCAACGGTCGTGGTGGTCGCAACCGCAGAGGTGGTGGCTGTGGTAAAGGCCGACATAACAATGGCAACAACTGCGGGGGTAGGCCACACCACAGCTAGCAGCACCAAGCTAACCGCAATCAACAGTGGGGTCTTGGGACCGTGGCAGCAATACCCTACCTGGCCAGAACCATGGGTGGTGCCACCTTGCCCATACCCCGCTTCCTCTTGGCCCCGCCAATCTGGGCCACATCAGCAAGGTGTTTTGGGCCCAAGACCCCAACAACAAGCTTTCTCAGCACATGCTCCATATACTGTCAACTATGCTCCAACAGACATCGACGCGGCTATGCACACTCTCACACCACCGGATGACGAATGGTACATGGACACCGGCGCCACCTCCCACATGACATCTCAACAAGGTACTCTCTCGTCTTATTTTAATTTGAGCAATCAACACAATATTATTATTGGCAATGGGCATGATATTCCAATTTGTGGTGTCGGTTGTGCGTCTCAAGCTGAATTCTTTCCTTGGCATATCAGTCACACATCACGCAAATGGGTTATTCTAATCTCAGAAATCATATGCTCAAGACATCATTGCTCGAGCTAAAATGTCATCGTGCAAGCCCTCCTCCACCCCGGTCGACACCAAGGCCAAACTCAGCGCCAACTCCGGCCCACCAGTCCAAGATCCCACACTTTATCGAAGCTTAGCCAGTGCTTAGCAATACTTGACATTCACCCGGCCGGATATATCATATGCTGTCCAGCAAATATGTCTATTCATGCACAACCCTCGCCAAGAACATATGCAAGCCCTCCGTCGCATTCTTCGATACTTGCAAGGTACACTCAAGCTCAGCCTGCACTTGTACCCGACCTCACTTGCGGGGCTCATATTGTACACTGACGCAGACTGGGGTGGCTGCCAGATACGTGACGCTCTACATCAGGTTATTGCGTCTTCCTTGGGGATAACTTGTTATCTTGGTCAGCTAAGAGGCAGCCCACTTTGTCTCGCTCTAGTGCCGAGGCCGAATACCGTGGAGTGGCCAATGTAGTAGCCGAATCCTGCTGGCTTCGCAATCTTTTACTGGAGCTCCGATGTCCTATCAAGAAAGCCACTGTGGTATATTGCGACAATGTAAGTGCAGTCTATCTCTCCAGCAATCCCGTACAACACCAACGTACAAAGCACATTGAAATAGACATCCACTTTGTACACGAAAAGGTAACCCAAGGTCAAATCCGCGTACTTCACATTCCATCTCGCTGTCAAATAGCTGACATATTCACCAAGGGGCTACCACAAATTTTGTTTGAAGACTTCCGAGCCAGCCTTAGCGTTCGATTGCCTCCTTGGGGGTGTACTAGACTATGTCAATATTAGGCTGCTATTATGATTATGTAATCATTCCCTAGGCTTTATGTATTACCTAGGTTAATTGTATATATACTCTGCCAAGTAATGTGAATAGTTACGGATTACATTCCTACACTTCAGTTTCTCTTCCTTAATTGCTTTAGGTAAGAAACTCAAAAAATTGAAATTTGAATTCCCAAATGTGTACACATGTGGGTCAAACATAGGAAAAAGGGGAGAGAAAATTCTCACCGAAGCCTATTGTGATGGATCAGCCACCACTAAGACTGTATACAAGAGGGGGGAAAGGCAACGGCAGCAGGTGCAAGAAACAAATAGCAGAAGAGGACAATGCTGTTTTATGTTCCACTAGAGAGTGTGGCTGTGAGGCAAACTCTGATGTTTTGATGATTTAGCCAGAGCAGGACAAATTTCATTAATTGGATGCTAGGTTATGTTTGTAGTAGTATGCCTTAGTATATAAGAAGTTAGCTTATGCAGTAGTTGTCATGTGTGAATTGTATGAAATGTTTTTAAGAGGTTAGCAACCTAAAGTTGCTTAGGAGAGTAATGGCCTCATTTAAGCCACCATCTTTGTGTTCTTTTGCTTTCAATCAATCAAACTACCAGCTTCCATCTTTATGTCTTTATTTCCATTGCATAAATATTCATCAGTTAAGCTAGTCCATTACACCTATAAAGTTATGCTCATTCAATTAGTAATTAGTTTTGAGTTGGGGCCTCATTGGGTATTTGAACGTTTAAATCTCCTCCACCATGGACACAGGCTTGCACATCCCAAAGATATTTACAATATTTGGAGGTATAAATGGCAATGATAGTATTAGAGCCAAGTTAGAAACTAGTACGTTTAAAATTTTGAGCTTCTCATCATGGAGACCCATTTAGTTCAAAATAAAGGGAATATTACATGTGAGGATAATGGTAAAACCCATATATATGCACATATGTGAGTTCCCACTCACTCACACATTAAAATAGACTTTAACAAAAAAAAAAAAAAAAAATACTACCCAATACGCTTAAGGTATTACTCTTCTCATTTCTAACTGGTTATAAATAGAGCTTGCTTGAACATGTACATGACCTAAAAGGCTACAACACTGCCATTAAGGTAACACTAACAGCCTAGGTAAAATGTTAGATTAACAAATTTGTAAGCACACAAGTTTTTAATAATATTTACCAAGCAAATTCATTGTATAGCAAAAAGGGATAGAGATATCACTCCAAAACAACATGCTGGCTCCATCATCAAGTACTCACAACTTCAAAAGATTTCAGTCTCACAATCACCAAAGATCACCTTCATATAATGTTGTTTCTCTGCCTATAGATTTCCACATCCATTAACTACATAAGTGACAGGATATAGTAGGTCTACACAACTTACTGCTGCTACATATTTCTGCAGTCTTTCTTACATTTCGGAGGCCAAACATTCACATCTACTATCAGCATCATTCACTACTAGAAAAGGTACCTATATCACAATGTTCTAGGCAAATAATATATCTGGCAATCTTTAATGTAAGCCTAATTCCAGTCATCAATTCTATTATGTGCTCAATAACAATGTTTCTAAACAAGAAATGCTTTCTTATAAAGGAAACTGGAAAGAATCTAGCAAAGCCAATCCTTAACACTTTAAATTAGCAGGTTCATCAATTTTCATAGTCCAATTCTTGTTCTTCCTCATCCAAGGAAAGACCTCAGAAAGGTACAAATCCAAAGGTTGGCAAAGAGCTATTATCAAAAGTTGAATTATTATATTTGAAGGTCAACAGAAAGAGAAAAAACCTTTGTCAAGAGAACTGCATCCTGCAGCTGTTCCAAGGTGTCTCGTATATGATCTCCTTGGACCATTATGTCTTCAACGATGTCATGAGCAATCTAACAGAACAAAGTCATCAGTTTAGCTAATATGGACAACTAAACACTGAACAATATGAGGTTAAATCTCCTAAAATCCATAAGATCAGGCCACAGGAGAAGATAAGGCTCACCTCACTTCTATTAATTTGAACTGCTAACAATTTAGATAGGCTCCGTATGCTAGACAATGGCCCACGAATCTGATGATTATTGGATAAAACAGCACACATAATGAGTTCCAGAAGCCCTGTGGAGTCATACACAAGGAAGGCACTGAGCCACTGCAAAAATAAGATATATTACTTGTTCAACAAGATTACTCATCCGGATGTTATTTTGCCAAGATGTCTGTTGAAGCAGCATTGCTTTCTAGAACAAAGAAAAAACAAGTTAAAGAAAGATCCAGCAAATAAATTACAAGCTGGACTTATCAAAAAAGAAATCATAACCAATAATAGAAGCATCTATCATTCAAATTTTAAAACACAGTAGTGATTATAGTATTGGTCAAAATATTATCTTGCACTGTTTTTGCCATTGGAGTGGCACATTAACCACGGCATCAAAGTATTATACAATAAAAAATAAAAATAAAAACTAAAATAAAAAACACAGAAAAAAAGGATCATTTATTTGACCACTTTTTATCTTTACATTATGTAAAACCAAGTCCCTACAAGAGTAAAGACCTTGTGCATACAATGTGAATACAGAAGGCAAAACACAATGATCTGTTTCACTACATAAGGTTATTTCATGGAGATATGCTCACAAGCCACTGCTTTAGGTATGAGGGTCCAAAGAGTATATTTTGAGAAAAGCCCAAAGAGTATGAGGGTCCAATCAACTGTCTAAATCAATGTCAATACTGACTCTCCTTGCTGGTCCAATGGTCCTTTAAACGATGATAAGCTCTAAACTAGAGGGTTGGGTCAGCTTCCTGAATCAATGTCACTACTCACACCACCTACCCTCATTGATCCCTTTCCAAAGAGTATGCCCCAATACCGTACACTTCAAACTAATATCCCATTTACATATTTACTGAGCTCCTCCTGAATATAAGCTCTAATCAATTACATCTATCTCCACCCCTTCCCCCTCCAGTGATTCCATGGCTTTTATTCAGAACCAGTGAAACCCCAACCACTTTCCAAGGTACTGATTTTCAATTATACCTCATTCAGGTTTAGAAAAACCTCCACTGAGTACAACAATGTCATGCTTTAAAAGGAACAAGAAAACTGAGATGATAGGTTCTTAAGATACTAGGACTTAAGTGACCAGAAAAGTGCACACGCCTAAGAAAGTCATTTCTTTAGCTAAAAGTGTACACACTCAGTTACAGAATATGCAAAGAATCACATAACAGGAAAAAATAAAACAAAAAATCCACTTGAACTGATAATTTTCTATTTTACCAAAAAAAAAAAGAAAAAAAATAGAAGAAAGAAAATGCACGCAAGTCTCAAAAGGTTATCACCATGTAAGCCTTGGTCCTCAGTATATCAGTCCCACTTTTCATAGACTATCAATATTTTTTAGTAGATATGCATTATTGACGCTGGGATTAAGGCTTTGATTGATTGATATACATTATTGACGCATCTTCAAAAGTTCCCCGAAACAACTTCTCTACTACTTTTCTTTAACATGTTAAGAGAAGAGAAACCGTAATAGGAGGTTCTTGCACTATTAGAAATAACACTTCAAAACAATGGCTATCCCATTGCAAAGTTAATCCCTCAAATAAGGTGATCTACACAAATTTCCTTTGAAAGCGATATAATCTTCCAAGAATTTTCCAAAATGACCAATGCTGATTCTCCTACACTAATTCATGCTCAGAAAAAAGCTTCAAATTACCCAAAACATATTCCTCCACCAAAAGTCTTCCCTACATCGAGTCATGATATTATATATTGCTAAAAATCACGGGAGATTTCAGGAAAGAGTTGTATTTCTATCAGATTTACTTACAGATACCCAACTCAGAACATGTATTGAAATTAATATAACTGAAGGGTAATATCCGATTAAAGTATAAACACAATAAATTCCTATCTCCATAAATAATTATACTCAAGTATAATAAGTGCTTATTTGGTTTGTGTAGAAATGTAAATCCAATAAAAAGTTTAATACCATGGGAATTAATTTTCCTTTAGTAATTCATGAGAAAATGCCCAAACTAAGTTTGGTTGGCATAAGGGAATTTATATTTCCCATGAATTAACATAGGAATTTAAACTAACCAAGGGGGAGCTAGGTAATTTATTTCCCATATTTTGTGGGAATTGCAAATTCTCATGAATTTTAACTTCCCCATTTTCCATACTTTTGATCAAACACCGTGTCAAAACTCTAATTAATGTGAAGTTAAGATTCCTACATTTTTTCCAACATACCAAACAATACCTAATTAGCTACCATAATTTCCCAAGTGCTTATCCTCATATCATATCCTTATCCTAAGACATTTGTGAAAAGCAATCAGCAAATATCATACCAAGTTACCAACTGTCTTTACCCTAATAGAGAAACATCTATTTGGCTTATTAGATAAATTGTCTGCAAAGTATAAAATCTACATGCAATCGCGTGACTACAAGCTAATAAAAGATATCTGCAGGAGCAACAGAAGAGAATTTAAAACTTCCCCCATCAACACAATGCAAACAGGAATAGTATATTGATTGCAAGCAGCCCTGCAAACACTCTAAGCCCCTTAATCTCCTTTCAGAATCAAGATATTGTGATTTCTTTCAGGACAGTGATTTCCAGTAAATATCATTAACTTGCCCACCCCCACCCCTTTTATACTTATCATATCAGTTTAAAGCTGCACGTCATATTATCAGCTTTATTGGATTCCAATGACGATTAAACCCAAGAGGACTTGAAATTAATTTAACAAAAACTTGACAAAGAAGCGTACATCAAACGCATAACTGATCTATAGGATTATATTGCATTGCTCAAGGTTAATAAACCACACAGACTAACATATGAGGTAGAAGGCAAAAAGGATGAAAGTAAACAAAGATGAGCTACCTGATCCATAACATAAGCCATAGCAAGGGAATGAGAAATATTTATAGCATTTAATCTCTGGTCAGCTGATAGATTGAAGCATGTCAGTGGATTTCCACCACATAATGGGATATCTGGCGCCTTCGAATCAAATTTAGGGGGCAATGCATAGCACTCTTCTGGGGATGGCAAGTAAGAAGCATCATGAGGTCCCTTTTCAAGCTCAACACCAGGAAGTTCAGCAACCAAAAACCCGACAACAAATGGATGTTTGACCATTGGAAAGACAACAGATCTACACTCCGATATTGCCTCAGCCTACAACTCATAAGAAATTTGAGTCCAAAATAAGTCAATGAAAGATCCTATGCGGAATGATTCAGAACAAGCCCATTCAATTTGTACAATAAATTTAAAAGCCTACTTGCATGTTTGAAAGAGCAGCTTCAGCACCACGCAGCCCAGCTGGAACACCAAAATTACCAACTAAAATGACAATATCAGACCCATCCACTGTTGGATAAAATGTAACACGTCGAAGTTCTAAACGATCCATCACATAGCTACCAGCAGGCCGGACATAAACCTGCACAAACAAAAGGTATCAACTATCAGTACTCAACCATCAAAAAAAAAATATCAGTATCCAAATACTCTGTAACTGCATTTTAAAATCCAAAAGGCAATAATCTAAGTTGAGCAAGAACCTTAAATAGAAATTAAGAACAAAAATGTGTGACCATATACTACTGATTACAAAACAAACTCTGCCATGCTCTCTTAGATTAGAAGATGTTTTATTTATTCACATTTGGACCTTTAGCCCAATGTTTTCATTTATGTTGTTGATACCCTATCATGATCAATAGTAAGCAGTAACCTCAAAGGCAACATTAGGCAAGTTCCTTGGATCAACAAAACAATTGAAATGCCAAAGCATAAAAAACATGGGATGTAAAATATTGCAGGGTTGTTTGGTTGACAAAAATACTGAAAATAGACAAAATGGAAGAAGTTGCTTAACTCGTACCCCTGATTACAAGGAACTTCCTGTCCAAAGTTTTACACACATAGTTAACCAAACAACATTTTACACTTCTTCGGAAATGAAACTAAGGAATACACGTTAAAAGCAACTTATTTCCTACAAGATAAGTCGTATAACTTCGTATGTTCAACCAAAGGACCATTTAAAACCCCAAATAAACCCGAGCAACATCATTAACCTACCGACAGGTAATCATATCTATCAAAAACTAAAGCACTCGATCAAGTACTGCATTCTATTCTAAAATGGGCATCCTGCAAATTTATTAAAAAGATTTGAAAAACTTACAGAGAGAAGGGCACTGGGGTCAACAATCCTTCGGAAAAGGGTCAATTGATCAAGACAAAGCCTCTGAAAATCAGGGCTAGGTAGAATAATACCTTGAGATTTAGGGTCCCTCTCAATTTTCTGGGTAAATTCAATGGGAGAAGACGAAGCTTTTTGTATTACAGAAGCCAATGCCGAAGCAGAAGGGACCCACTCACCGCCTTCTTCTTCCTCTAAAATGGGGTTATTTACATACCTTAAAGTAGCAGTTGAACTAGAACTAGAACTAGAAGAAGATGAAGAATTGGCCAAAAATGGCGGTTTTTGGTGAATTGGGAAAAAAGAGTAGCATTTGAAGCAACAAATTTGGGGTTTGTGGGAATGATTATGGTGAAAAGGGTAGGAATTAGAGCAAAAGAAAGATGGATTGGAGAGAGAAGAATGTTGTGGAGGGATTGCAGAGAGAAGATGCATCATGTTTCTGGGTTACTGATTGATTGATTGTGTTGGTGTTGATGAGAAATGGGGTTCTAAATTAGTGGAAGGGAGAGTGATGATAAGAAATGGTGGTTGGTAACGAGTAACTACTTTCTTTTGCCTCAATCATCGTCCTTTTTGAGATCGGTCTTTTTCGGGTTTCTATTCCTACACGTTGGTTTAAATTTAATATTTTTGGGTTAGGTCGTGTTTTGCCGAGAAATTTTAAGTTATTTCCTTAGCTAAACGAGGCTAGCACCGGAACAAGGACGCTAAGAAAAAGTAATGATGGCCAAGGGACCAAGCACTGGCCTATGCCTTGGGGCGTTGAATCGTTATGTTGTTATATGACCATGGCCAGGCCCTTGGGGTGTTGATGCTGCTACCCAAAAAAAAAAAAACCTTGGTAATGAAGGGTAGTGTATTGGCTTACCTTAGGGCCAAGGCAAGAGAAAGCAGTGCAAGAGGCCTAAGGCAACATAAGGCCAAGCCAAGCAATGCTTCTAGAGACATGATCTTGAGGGGGAGCGAGGATTAAAGCATGAATGAGATAGTTCTGGGCACCAAGTAAGCCTTGTAGGGCTCTTTGGGAACTCCGAGAAGCATCTTGGCATCTAAATTTGCCGGAGCCAAAAATACTCTCTAGAGGGTAAGCTTAAAGGCTAATATACGAAATATGGCCATACAATTCAAGTAATTGTAAGAAATGCATCTCGATGTCATATACTATTGTTTAAAACCACATATATGACCATTATTCGAACACATAAAGGATCATGATGGCATGGAATTAATAAAAGGTTGTGTGTATGTAACCGGCTAAATTGATAGTTTAAGGACAAAGTGGACAATACTAACTATCCAAATAATATGCTGGGGTCTCATAGGGTTCAAAGAAAGCACATCGCTCTTATTTCATCACAAACTTAGAAAAATTGAAAATTGTCAAAAATTGAAGGCGAATAACATGCTTTCAAATCAAATTTTTTTCAAGAATTAAAATGAATATAAGGGTGTATAATACTCTGTAATAAAAAGTTCACATAACATGGTGAGTTTGTGCCACAAAAATGGGAGAGACGACCAAACTAAGTATTGAATCATCAAAAAACTATTACTGTGACGATATATGTCTGAGAGTTAAAATAAATTTTGAAAAAAAATACAAGTAAATCAATGTAATCCCAAGAGATTATAATGATGAAATTCAATCTATAATGTGCTCTAGCATACCTGGAGCTGTCAAAAACTGACCGACCCAAGAACCCGACCTGAACCAGCAATGATCTAAACCCGATCTGTACTCGAACAATGGGGTGAAATTGGTGACATATATGAAAGGAATGGTGTCCTTCGAACAAGTGTATATTCCGATAGAGGGTTCAAAATTAATTAGGAAAGCTAATTATTCAGTGAAGTCAAGTGATCGAAATGTCTAGCCGGAGGCCGCTTTCAATCAGTTATATTAATGTATATTTAATAGTACAGCTTGCTCTTGACTGAACCCTACGGGTCACACCCAATAGTGTAACTGAACAAAGGCGACGAATTAATCCGAAGGTTTAAATAAGTCGATAGAGATTTTACGAACTCAAACATCGAATTTCGAGCTTCGAATGTCGAACATCAAATCGATTCAACGAATCGAGAAGACGAGAAATAAGTCAAATGATAATTCATTGCGAAAAGACCTAGCCTCGAACTGGCCTAGCCAATCGAGGACTAGGCATCCTAGGCTAGCAAGGCTGCTAGCCATGCTCTAGCCTCGGTAGCAAGCCCAGCAGCCATGCATGTGCGCTGGCCGGGCGACCTGGCCGGCTAGCAGCGCAAGCCTCGCAAGCATGCATGTTGGCTAAGTTAGCAACGCTAGCGTCAGCCCGCAAGCATGCGAGCAGGCTAATGCTATCAAAAGCTAGCACCAGCCCACAAGCGCACGAGTAGGCCTAGCTACCAGCCCGTTAGCGCGCAGCAGATTTGCGTGGCTTGTGGTATGCTGGCAGGCCCAGCCAAGGGAAAGGCCGCCAACTGGGCGTGCCTTGGAGCCCAAGGCATGAGGCCAACCAACTTGCCTTTCCCTTGGGTGAGGTGGCGGTTTGCTTGCTTTCCAAGGAGAGGGCTTGTGGTCCTTACCTAACCCTTCCCTTGGATTGCCACTTGTCATTTGCTTATTGTCTAATGCTATTTAATTTAATTTAGAATTAAATTAATTGCTTATTTTTCTCACTTTATCATTTCTCCCACATGGAAAGATGATTGAGGTTTTTGGAGCCTTTGCCTATAAATACCAACATTGGGAGTTGGGAAATTTACACTTTGAGTTGAACTCAATAAGGTATCTCCTAAAAGCGTGAGAAAGCCTTTTAGTTTGTAAAACTCTAATTTCTTATGGTTTAGCCTCGTCTAAGCTACGAGGTAGGAACCTTGTTTCGGGCGTGTGGGTGTGCGACGTAGGAGGGTTCACACTTGCGGGTCTTGAGCTTTCCGTGGTTCGTGCTCGGGGTTCGTGAGAAGCACGCTTCAAGGGTAAGGAAGTCTTTTCTCTACGTTCTCTCTCTCCCTCTTTATGTGTTTATCGCTTTAATAATTGCATATTAGTTTGTTTAGTTGTATTAATTATGCATGCGGTCCGAGAGGGTTTTGGTTCAACACGATGCTCACGCATTGTAAAACCCAACAATATAACCCGACCCGAACCCAACCTGATGTTAACCAACAACCAATTAATTTGATCTGATACTTTATGACCTGAACCTGAACCCGACTTGATAGTAATCGACAAGCGATTTAACTCGACCCGACAACAGTTCGAACCCGAACAGTACCCAATCCAATTAGAACTCGAAAATGATTATAACCTGATACTACCTGTTATTATTGAACCGACTTGTGATGACCCATACCTAGGTTTTATTTGACTTATCAATTCATCATTGTTTACCCAACCTGCCATTGACCAGACTAACATGAAATTAGATATTAACGCGACCTGCTTTTACCCAAATAACATGAAACAAATTAAACCAAATAAATCTTGAGTTTAATTTGGTTACAATTATATAATCATAGATTTGTACAATTTGTTCAGATAATATACCAATATGTTGGCTTAACAACATATTTGTTTGAGATTATTGTATACCTCTTGTTCTCTATTATACAGGGTTAATAAATTGAATTATAGAAGACACAATTATATAGGTTTAACTTGACCACACGTACCGATATTGATTCGACTTAAACTTGACGCAAACCCAGGCCAAGAATGACCCAATTTAAAGATTAAACCTCACAATTATTTGACCAACCCTAACCCAAACTCGAATTTACCAGCCATTAACCTACCCAAACCTGATTGGACACAACCCGAACCTGAAATCGAACCCGACCTGAATCTGACTAGAAGTGAACCCGACCTACACCCGAAAGGGTGAATAGCCCAAAATAACTTGAAACAAGAATGACCAGACCCAAAGCTGAACCTGATCTAGAGGCTAGATTGATCCGACATAATCTAATACATAATTCGACTCGAGACCTGATTTGATCCGATCCGAATCCGACTTGAATGCCCGAATGGACAACTCTTGGGGCATACCTGTAGACACTTGGATTTGGTATTAAGCCATGGTTGTCTAAATTTGATAATTTCCCACCATATCAATTTTCAAAACATTGACCATTTTTTATTTCTTTCTAACACCATCTTTAGACCCTAAACTCCTAAAGTTTCCCTCTTAACGGCTCGAAATGCAATAGTAGCCCTACGATCTTCCACTAATCATAGTCTGACTTTCTCTCTCCTAGTCTCCTCCCACTTTGACCAACTCCATTAATTTAACCCCTTCTTCTTCTAGCCGTTAGAATTTTACAACTTTTTCAGTCATCCTTTCTCAAAATGCCCTGCATTCCAGCAAAACCCAGAATCATAGTGACTTGCAATACACAATTTCCCTCTCTTAATTCATCCCTTTCTGATCTTTCAATTGAAATGGGTAAAGATTTGGAACCCTGTAATTTTGTTTCTGAATCTGAATCTTTAATCCCTGTTGTAGAAAACCCAAAATTTGTTTGTTCTTTGAAGCGTAAAAGACCCCCGAAAATTCAGATCCCTAATGTATTGCAGGAAATTTCGGTTGATACCCAGATTAAATTTGGGTGTTCTCCTGTTAAAAATGATGGAATTTATTGTTTTGAGGATTTGGGTGTTGGGGTTTGTTCAATTAAGGGTAAGAAGAAGTTTATGGAAGATACCCACAAGATTGTTTCTTCCATTGACGGCAATGCTAAGAAGGTGTGTTAATGCACACCAACTGTTTGTCAAAATGCCGCTTTGGTTTTTTGTAGTGTTATTTTTATTGTATTGCGACTAAAATAGTGAAACTTGTTTAATTTTGCAGGGGTTTTTTGGGGTTTATGATGGGCATGGAGGGAGAAAAGCGGCTGAATTTATTGCAGAGAGTTTACATAAGAATGTCATTGAGTTGCTTGATAATTGTGATGGAAATATGGCTAAGGAAGAAGCAGTAAAAGCAGCTTATCTTAAAACAGATAGAGAATTCTTGGAGCAGGTAACTTTTGAGGCACATCATTCTTTATTTGCTTATCTTTTATATGCTTATTATTTTAAGTAATCTAATGAATTAAAAACTTTTCTTGGAGCTTTCTTCCAAAAAGATGTAAAAAATGTGATTCTTGTTTTGTATGTAGTTGTCTTCATCAATAAGATGATGTTTGGTCAAAATGCCTGTTGTTTCTTGTATGAATTATTCCTTTGAGTGGCCTATGGACCGGATTTTCGTTTGTTGGACATGCAAATCGCTATTCAGTTCAAATTATGTTAAAATTATGTTAAAATTTTGCAGCACATTTTGAGCTTGTTTGGTGGATTAAGTTAATGTTGCAATTATTTCTCTAGTCCAGTGAGAATGCAATGAGATTTTTTTTTTTAAAATTCCGTAAGAAGCTGCAATTTTGGGTTTCAAACAAATCCTTGTAGTGTATGCTATAGTACTAAGTAAGAAGCTGACAGTGTTATATTGCTATGATTGCTATAACACTATAGATAAAACATCAAGCAATAATTTCTTATCTTAATATTTATAGAAAGTTAATACTATGATCATAGTGGGACAGCTGA